TCTTTTCCAACCTAAACGATTCTATGATTCTAAGAGCTTGTGTCTGAATTCTGGGACTGAGTAAGAAATTAAAAAAATATAAAAAATTCCAAAATACTAGAGTGCAATTTTTTGTTAGCTTTAAGAAATTATGACAATTTCTCCCCCCACTCCATACAGTTGCTTCTAAACCAACATTTCAGTACAGTGAGAAAACATCTGGTATGGAGGAAGAAATACACACCCTTTTTTGCTCAAATGTATAAAATTATGATAAATACTAGATAATTAGTCTTGAGATTTGGGTACGTGGTTCATGTCTGAGCTTGCCCGCTACCGTTAATACCACCTCTACATCCTGGCAGATTGTTCTGCAACAGCAGCGTGCTTGAGATCAAGCACAGGTAAACGACTACTGGTCGTGCACCCTTTTTTTTCAATTAAAAGTACCAGTATATAAATCAACACCACCTGCCATGTGGACATAGAGGTTTTGATCCACTACTGGGAGCACTTAAAGAGTTGTTATGTTGAATACAGGTGTTACTTCGATGCCTTCCTCAGTAACACAATTTCTACCCAAAAAGCAACTGACCTGGCACAACTCTGGAAATGGAAACGAGGGTGAGAGCAAGCAGAGAAGAGGACAGGAATATTTTCCAACTGCTTCTACCACCTAATGTGAAATCAATCACTTTGTCATCTACAGCTCCTACCAACATGCCTCTTTTTTCTGACCGAAATAAAAATAGCAACCCAAGAAATTAGCTTCATTAATGCAGAGTCAGGGATATCCACAGCATCTTCTCAGAATGGGTTTGGCTGGTTCATGTTTTCCTATTTCAGGAGCTTATGATGCATACTCCAAACAGCCTTACCTATGTCCTTCTCACACCATGTTTAATATCAGACTTGCTTACATTCATTAATACCCCTGATATGCAAAACCTTCAGCTTCTCAAGTGTCATTACTGATGGGAGCTACACAGTGTGCTACCCAAGTGAGACACATGATGTCAAAGCAATCCACACCTTTTCCCTTGGACCACTCAGAGAAGCTGAGCATGGTACCCAGCTACTGCAAGGTCCCCTATGAGACCACCAAATTTCACCTATCCTTTTACCCCTCAGCCCAGTGACACCAAATACCTTGGGTACTCCTAGAGGGCAAAGGGATGGTTTCCAGTAGCTACTGCTAAATCTGGAGGCACATAATTACAGGCATATGGGCACAAACTCTTATTTCCTTTAGAAATGTAATGTTTTGCTGAAACGGATGTTCCAGGAACAGCATGGAGCACCACTGGGCAGTCTGGAGGACAGCAGATACAGTAGCAAAGGACTCCCAGAGCAACGCATGAATTCTCTTGAGTATAAGCATAGGAAGATCAAACAGGGAGGAGATGGTTTTACAAGCTCTAATGTCGCCTCTTTTTCCAGTTTTTCAACGCTTCTATTCAGAAAAGTACTACAAAAATAATCTCACATCTAGCAGACCTAACTTGAAGCGAGAGGCTTAAACTCTTTTTTTGGTTAAGTTACAAAATAAATTATTTGATTACAGCCTAAAAATACTTACTATCAGACATTCCTTCTCTCTTTAAGGAGCTCTTGAATTGATAATCCCACAACAAAAATAGGAAATACATTTTTAATGCGACTGATCAACATTTTAGCTCATTTTGGAGCATTCGTTGTATCCCTTCACCTGAAGGTTTTAATTCCAAACTGCTGACATTTCCTAAAAATGCATTACAGTTGAAAAATAAGTTACGGTGTTGACAGAGCGCAGTGCTCACTGGTCTGTCTCAGGCAAGAAACCTGATTATGTGGCCACGGTGATCCTTTCTGGCCTTACCGTTTTTCACGACATAAAAGCCATTCAGCCATAATCTACTTTTTTTTGCTGCTGCTGAATTTAAGAGAATGCTGAATTTAAAAGAAAGGTAACAAAGCATCTAAACAGGACCACAGCAACCTCAATACTCCTTGCAAGCCATTTAACAAGCAAAGGAAGGCTCTGGAGCATGCAGGTACTATGCAGCCATGGCAGAGACTGGCAGTCATCTCCCTGAATGTGTTGTGTTGGCATAAAGTCCTTGTTCGTGGAGCTTGTGGAAGAGACTGTACTGGGAGCCTGCCAGCTCTGCTGCCAGCCAGACCAATGTGGAAAGCTTTCACCTCATCTAAAGAGATAAGTAAAAAGGACTCCTCCTCCTGTTCAACTTCAGGTTGGTTTATACTTAAACAGGATTGACCTCATCTTCCAAAATAAAAAACATAAACAAAGCGTATGGTCTTGGTACACAATGAAGAGCATCTGATCCTCTGCATCAGTAGAGACCCAAGCTGGAGTTTCAAAGGGGATTCAGACCCTCTGTCTGCACCTACGAGGGAGGTCCGTGAAGGCGGTGGAGACCCAAGCAGGGCAGCACTGGAGCAAGGCAGGAAGCCACTCACAAGGCTCCTGAGCCCTCCTATGGAATGTGGTACCGACTCTTCCCTCTCCCACCCAAAGGGCAAAAATAGCCAAAAACAGCCTTCCACCCAACATACTGCACTGCTCGCATCTCAGCCAGTCCTGTCCCAATATACACTTTACCACGCTAACAGTAAAAACAGCACCCGATGTTCAAAGTGTTACACAGCAAATTTTGGCACAGGTTCTAGAAAAGGTAAAATTAAATTGTGTCAGATCTCCTCTAGCCATGCTTAGAGCACAAAAACCTGTTTCAGGTAACGTTCCACTGGTCCTCCCCTACAGCACTCCTACACATCTCATCCAAGTGATCTTTGATCTCCAGCACCTTCCTTTCATGCTCAAGGATCTCCATAGTCTCCTTACAAGGATCTCCACAGTCTCCTTACTACCCTCTTTTTGTTGGCAAAGGGTAAAAAGAGGGCAAGCAAGCAATGCTAAACATCTCTCCATGCACACACGTCTGGGCTCATGCATATCCCAAATCCTCCCCGCAAGCACTTTTTTAGGCAAGACGACTCATTTGCCATTATGATGCCTATTTTTTTCCCTAGAGGACAATCTCTTTAAACTCAGAGAGATGTAACAAATAACATTAAAATGGTGACTTACCAGTCTCTCATTATCTTCTGAGGTTCTCTGGTAATGAGCTGCTAAAGCAACGTAATCCTGTGCCTGCTTGTTACACTCTAAACACTTAAGTCCATGACGGATTAGTCTCAATGGGTCTGTATAGAGAGGCAAGGCTGGCTGAGCATTAGCAGAAATTCCTACCCCACCTCCTGAAGCAGCACTGGGCTTACGTGAAGGAGAGGGCGAGTGCAAAGCCTGAGGAGCCGGAGAGGCCAAAGAGCTTGTAGAAGGTGAAAACATTTGGTCTAAAGAAATAGGTTTCATTAGCAGCTGAGAACACTGCATGATAAATCCTTTGTTCTTATGATCTCTTGCATGTTTAAGCAAGCTACACTTATTAAAAAAAAGCAGCACAGTTGAACACTGAGTGCACATGACTTCAATATGAACGCTTCGTCTACTATAGTGTTGAGTCAGGCTTTTCTCTAAGGCAAATGAGTCCCCACATTCCAGGCAACAATACCCAGAGGCAGGTAAATTAATACTGGTGTCAGGCGGAGGGCTAAGGTTTGGAGTATATATTGGCACTGGATTGGCACTGTGTAGTACTTTATTAAATGCCTCCACGATGACAGGAGCAGCTTTCCTGACTTGGTGCACCAGCGGCACAGACACCTGTGTCACCTGAGGCTGATTTCGCCTCTGTGCAGATGACTTTGCCGTAACAGAAGCAGCAACGCTATGTGGGACTAAGTTGAGATTTGCCAAGTGCACAGCTTTGGGAAGAAGGCTGGAGCTGGTCACGTTGGATGGCTGCATCATGATACCCTGCTGCTGCCTCTTAACACCTACTTTTATGGCACCGCCACCGCAGTTTGGCAGTGGAGATAAGGACACAGCACACGTGCTGTTTGCAGCAGTATCTGTTTTCATACCATCTGCGTAAGGACTCGCAACATTTGACAGCTGAATAGCCACAGCAGCCCCATTTTTGGTTGAATTCTTGCTAGCCTCGCCTTCCATAACTGCACTAGTGTCAGGGGATGGGAAAGATTTCATAAACTCTTCAGCAGATGAGGATTCCACAGGCGACTCTTCTGAAGATTTACCCAACTCATCGTTTTCTGGCAAAATTCTAGTTACAGTTCTTTTAATTTCACCAGAGGACGTCTTTATAGTCTTTATTCTAACTTTGGGAATAGCTGGTGGAGAGCCAGCTGCCATGGAAGGAGAGCCTTTCCCACTGCTGTCGCTGCACACACTTCGAGGACTCTCAGGCTGCTTGCTGGCTTTCCTTACTACCTCTAAGGGGCTTCGGGGACTCTTTGGCGACTTGGGCATTTTTGGACTTCCCTTTGTCCCATCTTTAAAAGGGCCAGGTTCCCTGGTAAGGTTTGGCTGATCACCTTGTGGAATACATGCAACCTTTTTGGCCTGAAGAGCTACTAATGCTGCCACGCAGGATGACAACTTTGAATGAGTTGGCTTTAACCTCTGGCGAGGCGGTATTGATGAAGACATATTCAGCTCAGGCACAGACCCCTTACTTTCTCCTAAATTATTGTGAGGGAGGTCTCCAAACACCAAGCCTTCCCCAAGAAAGCTACTGGTATCTACCAAGTCCTTGCTTGACTCCACAAACCTCTCCGTTGCTTTGTCTTGTTCTCTCCTGCTCATTTCCAACCTGCTCTCTGGCTGGCAGTGGATTTCCATCTTGTGTTCCTTTTTACAGTACTGATCAAACATGCTTAATTCGGGCTCCGGTACCTTCCTAAGGTGATCTAGTACTGAAGCTCCTGTTGGTATATACATTGAAGGTGGTGGAAAATATGGAGTTTGGGCATGTTTGGGTTTATCACCAATACTGTTCTCTTTGAACGCGTCCTCTGGTTCAGGGCTGGAAATCGGGCTAAACTGACTAAATGTTGGCAAAGGCTCTGACTTGGACTGGTCCAGTTTATCAGAGTAACTTCTTGAGCTGTCACCATTAATAAAAGTTGACTCAAACTTGCCATAATTATGCACTAAAGTGTGAGCCTCTGATGGCAGATCGGACCCACGAAACCCATTGTGTAACAGACCAGCCCCAAGATGACTCCCCTCCTTTTCTGCTTCAAAGGACTCCTGGCGACTCGTGTTCTTCACTATCACACTCACAACAGGAGCATCAGAGGGAGGCAAAGAGTGGGATAAGGACACATTCTCATCTATGCAGATTCCTGATGACTTCAGGTGATTCTCATTCTCCTCCACAGTTGATGGGATGGTCTCCTTGGCATCAAGGCTAGTCGGATCGGGGATGTCAAAAGCAGCCAAGAGGTCATCAAAGTCTGGAGTTTTCATGTCCCCCATGATGAAAGCTACAACTAAAAGCAAAAAAAATACTTTGTCAGGTGCATTTTGTAAGACTGATTTGCATAAACATCTTATGTGACAAAAACCACAACTGCCCAAGATGCTAACACAGCAGGTACAAAGGCTAGAAACATCTGCAGCAGACACTTCAGCTTCCATTTTAACTATTCCAAGATTGACTGTTAATACACAAAAATATTAGCCCAGCTTTTTCAACACATCTTTTCAACACAACAGTAACGTTTTGCAGGGCATCACAGGGAAGGAATCTCTCCTGCCCTAGCTGCACCTGAAGGATCAGAAAAAGCTCAGGTCCCTGCTTGAGCTGGCAGGGGCAAGTGACAAGTCACAGGAGCTGTTCACTCCTGTCCTGCAATGCAATCCGCCCTCTCCAGGCTGTGGGCAGAGCTGCTCCTGGTGCTTCAAGCAACATGGTGGAAGACAGCATCCCCTTCTCCCAGGGTCCCCAAGAACAGAGCTGGTTCAAACATGACCTTTTAAATGACACCAAGCACAAGCAGGGGACATTTTTTCAACCTGTCAGATGCATCACTACTCCAAAAACAGCCGTCATCATGAGTCCCAACAGAAAAGATTCAGAAGTACATTACTACAGGGTTACTTCTGTTTGGTTGCATTTTTTTTCTAGAGCTAATAGGCAACAATCACTGCCTATTTCTCAACAGATTGCCACATCTGAAGAATTCAGTCCTCCTTCAAGGAAAAAAGCCACAAGTAAACAGGTGGCCCAAGAGAAAACAGGCCTGAAAAGTGAGATGACTCCCTACCTAGAGCAATTTAGGTAATAGACGTCTTCAATAAATATTTCAATACAGCAGCTCAAAGAACAGTAAACCAAGCAGGGTTTATCTGAAACAGGGGGAATCCCTAATTAGGTCATGATGAGAGGCAAAACTGCCCGAAGACAGAATAAAGGATTGCATCCAAATCATAATAAGAAATGGTCTTCCCAGCCAGCTCTCTCTTTATAAGCCCTCCAGAAGGGAAGTGGGGACTTAGACGCTCACCGCAGAGACCTACGACAGCTATAATCAAGCTCTGATGAGATGCATAAAGAAAACTGACAGCACAGAGCTAGTTGAACTTTTGAGTTCACTACTGTCAGGGATACTGGTTTCCCCCTGTTTAATCAAAATATTTTCAAGTTGGTGCAATATATAGACTTCCCAAATATATAATAAGCCATTCTTTTAATACATGTTCCATTTAAACCCCAAATTTACATGAAATGATGTATGCTGTATGCAGGGGAGGAAAAAACCCAAAGAGCATCAACTGAACTAGCAGAGCACCAGTTCCTACTTGGCAAGGAGCACCCACAGGCAAGGTAAGTCCTGCCACACTCACTTGACTTGGGCTGCATCAGTGCTGCCAAAGCTGGTGGCAAGCGAGGGAAACTGAGAGGGTGGCAAGAGCCCAGGAGAAGGGGGAAGAGCTGGGAGCAGAGGTGCAAGCAGAGAAGAGGACCCTGGGACAAGGTGGAGGGAGAGGAAGAAAGCTGTCTGACACCTTCCCAAAAGGCCAGTAATTTAAGGCTGCTTTCATTATTTACAATTGGGTTTAAAAGTCTGTCAAGCATCACATTAAAACCAAACAAAATGCAACCCTTCCTGCCAGACTGCTGGTACAGGGAACAATTTACAGAGCTGGGCCAGGAGAATTCACTTCAGCATGGAACAAGAAGACATACTGGTCTTTGAGCTTTAGTTCAGCTGTGTGTACAGACAAGCCCGGGAGGTGTTACTTTGGTTAATCTACTGCAAAACATTCTGCAGAGATTTACTTGACTTAAGAGTGGCTCACTGTGGTTCAGCTTAAATTTGGTCTCATTCTTAAATTAAACCACAAATATGAATGTCCAAGAGGGCAATTTACAATTGCATCTCTCAGCAAGGTAGGGCAGCTGTGCGTTGAGTCTCTGGAAGCCCAGAAGACTATTCATATGCTTCAAATCACCAGCACTTGATAAGGACTTTTGAAACATTGCAGATTACTGCAGTTGGCAGAGCATGGTGGACCTGAAACTTCTGAGATCTCTGCTGAAGTATTTCTCCACAAAATCGCATCTTAAAGTTGTCATACGTGAAGCTACAATTTCTCAAAATAAAGCAAAATCAGACCCAGATTCTAAAGACCACCCAGTATCTTGCTGATAGAAGTGATTTTTAAATGACATAAATTTAAAGTTTTGACTAAACACCATTTATTTCTGTTCTCAGATAACAAACAGAAAAAGTATAATAAAGGAAAATTATGTCAAAGCCTCCCACAAACTGGTTTGTGAGGGAAGCTGAAAATAAAGACCTCCATCCTTACTCCATCCTTCTTGTGCAAAGCTTGGAATTCAGTTTTCTCTCTCTGCTTGCCTATGAAACCATGGAGGTTGAGATTTGCAAAGCTATAGAAGAGGTGAATAAAATAAGGAAAGAAGAAGGACTTAGAGAGTAGAATGCATGTATTTCAATGTGCAAAACCAACCTCACAGTAGCACGTTTCTCCAGGAAGCAGGGAACCTAGAAGCCTCCAATCCATCCAAAAAACCCCTGCGAACTCACTTGAGGTAATACATCAAACCCCAGGGCCTTGTGCTGTGGCTAAGCTTCAAAACTCTGTAGTCGGGCAGTGGTACCACAGGACCAGCGTCCCACACACGCACCATACAAACCTTTCACTAGCGTTGCTGTTCCTGGGCACTTTTGGAGATCTGCAGTAGCCTCTCTGCAACTTTCAAACCAGCACGTACCATGCTGTTCAAGAGGAGGTTCAAGATTGCCACCTAACAGGAAAGAATAAAAACACAATTACACCAGGTTAAAGAATAAAGGAAAATAATAATAACAAACATTGATAAATCTGCAAAACAACAGCAAGATACAAGGGAAAACGTCTGCCAAGGGCTGCTCTTACGGGTCCAGAATAGGCAGGCATCTCCTGGAGGGGATGCAGGAGGGAGGCAGACAGGGATTGCCTACCAAGGGAACACTTTGGGAAGGCAGGGATGTCAGAAGCCTGGGCCGAGGAAGCGCGGGGAGTGCACGCCAACTGGCAGTGGGTGAAGCGGCTTGCCGAGGAAAGCAGCCGCCCAGGGCCTGTCAGGACTGTGAGGAGGGTATGGGAATGGGGAAACCACAGCTGGTGGAGGATCAAGCCAGAGGCTTCAAACGGCAGACAGGATCCAGTATTTTAACAGGCATTAAAGTTTCAGAAGCCCTGTACAGGAACGCGGCACATCCCGGGTTAACGGTGCAAGGGTCTG